ATAATGCATTCCTTGGCCGTATTGGTCATAGTTTTTCCTCTTAGTGAAAGGACATTAAAAAGAAAATCACTAAAACCTACGCCAATCTCCCAATTTTCAGTTACTCTCTGTAATGTCCTTATAGTTGGTAAAAACTATGTTCTTCTCAAGAACCGATACACTTTAGGCCCAGAGAAATGTAATGTCAAAGCAAACTGTTTTGTTTCTTTACTGTATCATCGGCCCTTGGATGATCCAAAATTTCATTGAGCTTGAGTCTGCACAAAATTACAAGCTGCACGAATTTGGAAAAATTGTTCGCTGTGACATTGAAATTGAGCCAATGTTATGGGTTCTTCCAATATATATATTACGCTTCACGTAATCTTAATTTTAAATCGTTGTTCTTCATCTTAAGTTTATCTGTTCTAGGTGTTTCTTTAGATAAACTCTTATCTGTCTGAGTAGAGCAGAAACTTAATGATTCAGAACAACTTGATTCATTATCTGAAAATCATAAATTGGTGAGTATTAAAGCAAAAACAAATACAATGAAAAAAAGGTTAATAACTGTTAAATTATTTATTTAGTATAGTTAATTATTTTTTTTTCTTAATAGATATTGGTGATTTGTATGACACTGTATTTGAAATTCTTATGGGTATTTGTAGAGGAGAGGAACACAATGCTTCACCAGAAAAACCAGATGTGCATAGTAAAAGAACTTTGTATCCTAGTAATGGCTATGAAAACAATGCCCTGCTAAATTTTGGCTTACCTGGCAAATATGTGTTCTTTGACAATTATGTTCTTAGATTTTAGTTTGTGTGTGATAAACAATAACGCTGATAACAGATGAAGAACGATGTGATAAACAATAACAACTTTCGATCGCGGTTGGTAATTATAGAGTAAGATAGAGGCTGCGGTAGCTATCAAAACCATGTATCACAATTGAATCCAATCCGTCGGTCATTGACCCATCTTATTATTAATTTTTGGGGTAGATAATAATTAATTGATTATTGAACAAGATAACGATTAACTATAAAGTATAAGTGTTTGTTAAGTTTCTAAATGCATTTTTATAATAATATAATTAATTATAATGTATTTGCTACGTCAAAATGATGATAAATAATAATGTTTCGTAAATTCAGAATTAGTGATGCCTAATTCAATTTTAAGCCGAAAAACAGATTGAAATTTGATAAGGACGCGCGCATACGCAGATTTCACCGGTTCTATAGTTATGTTGACTTCAATTCATTCTACAGGTATTATATGCGATGATTCTATCCATATACATATACATATACATACATTGTATGTATATGATCTAAGACCCAAATTGAAAAGTCCAAGTAAGATAATTTTCTCCGTTAGTCGTGCTGTTTTCAACAAAAAGTATATATGTACATATCACTTTTCATTCATTGAAGACAGCGCAACTAGCGGAGAAAATTATCGTACTTGGACTCTTCATGGGGGCAATAACCGACAGATTGGCTTCAGTTTTGATAGCTAACACCGCCTCTATCTTGCTCTATGTTGGTAACGGTCGAATTTCCGGAAAAATCCTCATTGACGGCTTCGTACATTTTTACGGTAGCTCTAAACCACGAGATCTAGTTTCACCAAACGTGTACGAATTTCGAACTAAACACGTTTATTCCGCGAATTCTTCCTCGATCTTTACGTTCGAACTTGGTGTTTTCGCACTAGCGCACTACGCACAACAACTAAAATCGATTAACGAACTCGCCACATTCTTCAGGAACAAATCCCACTTCTGATAATAAATATAAGTATATATATGTTTACTTCTCAGTCGTAAACTCACGGTATTAATACAAAACAGTCTATTTAAATTAATAATTAAAACACATTTATTATGGAAAACAACAAAAACATTAAACACCACACTGACCGTCCATATGCACACCTTACACACTGTACAGGTTGTCGAACAAAGGAGTGTCTAAACACAGGAATGCACCTTGTGCGTTCTGCGTATGCGCGTAATTTATTCACCACTATTATAATGTTAGGCTATTGTTATCAATATATCATAACAATCACTATAATAATATAAATTATGAATCAAACTATTCAAAATTTAATTACGTCTTATAGATAACTGGACCTACACGCAAGGAAAAACAAGGAACTATATATAAATCTCTAAAAGTTCTTCAATCAAAGTGTGATGAAAACGATTTTAATAATGCTTTAAAATAATTTAACCTTGAGCTAATAAATGATCCAGACACTAGAGACTTTGATATATATTTTGATCGCATGTATGGAAATAGAGTTAGTTTGTGGGCATATTGTCATCGGAAAGGTCTTGGTAGATTCTAGATGCATATTACAATGCATCTAGAATCTATGCACAAAACAATAAAATATCACTATTTGAATGGTTGCAAAGTTGGGTGGTTATATAAAAATATAACAGCTATTAGAAGATATACCTGTGATAAAAAAATTAGATGGAAGTCTTGTTGGTTCTTGTAAGCAAAGCTATAACGATTAGCGATATTATATTGTTGTTGTATACTACTATACTGTATAGTACATTATATTACACGTGACTTGTCACTGTGTCACATTCTGGAATTATGGATCCTATAAATGATCTAGTAATGATATTACTTGAAACGCCTTTTAGGCGTTAGAATAATATTCATATAAATGATTTGATTAGAAAAGGTAAGCCAATTCCTTTTTTGTCAATCACTTGACAAAAAAGGTGGCAAAGTATTTAGTCGACTGTTTAATCCTGCGTGGTATGATTTGTGGAAGTTATTACAAATAAGCATTGTTTTGTTGGCCGTGTATATTGTTAGGTCAATCAATATCTGTCTGGTTGACAGTTGATTATTGTGATTTTAAAAACTTGTCCCGTAGTGAAAAATTTCACGAGTAATCAAAAGAACATATTCACAGCTACTTGAGGATTAAACGTTTAGAAAACAATAGTGTTACAATTTTAATGTTATAATTAAATACATAATTATGTATGTATGTTAACATTTAGTCGTCTCAGTCAAAATTGAATCCCAAAACCGCCACTTTCCAATTCAAAAATCAACTATGAGGCCCAGCCTCTATCAAATTTTTTGGCCAAAAAACGGCTGCATCCGAGTTGCGGTCAGAGACGATTTTTGAGATAAGGACATATAACAGTTACGGTCACGCGAATTGTAGGTAATATCCCAATTGCGGTCATTATACCTATTACTTATCTGTAAAGTTTGTAAATAAAATAAATAAAATTGTGGCGTACATATAAATTTTGTATGGGGGGGGGGGGATCAATTGCAAACAAATTATTATGGAAGAAAAATTCCTAAACCAAAGGACTAGCACAAAATAATAAATTACTACTATATATACTCGTATATTGAATGTGTCAAAATAATAATTTACAATAAATCCTTGAAATATTTTTTTGTTTCCTTATGATTTCCTTATATTAAGAATACTATTTTATACAATTTTTAAAAGACCTATGGGGGGGGGATCTAACCCCCACATACCCCTTGTATACGCCCCTGCAATAGTAGTATAATCACGAACTAGATGATCATCAATCAATGGTACGACGAAAGGTTAGTTACAGTGTTAAACGTAAAACAGTGAAGCAGTTGAGCGAGCGTCCCTCCAAAATTTTTTATTCTGAGATGTCAAGTACAGTACTTAGTGTACTGTGGTCAAATGGCGTTACATTGATTAGAAAAAATATACACACTGCAAAAATGAATGTTCACCCGAAGTTGCTGCGTGACTTTTCACAATTACTACTGTGATTTCAAACTTACACAATAAAAATAGTGTAGACAGTCCTAAGTCTGTTTATAAAATGGAAAAGAAAATGTTGAAATTTTTTTGTAAATAAAATAGCATGGTATATACCATATATACTAGATATATATTTTGAGTGACCGCAACTAGTATACACCGCAAAAAACACAAACAACAGAATTTGTTTCTTATGCCGAAAACAATACCTTTTAAATTCGTAAGCTTCTTGACAAGAATTTTTAAAAACCACTTTTTTGATAAATAATAAACATTTTACGAATTTTTAACTTCAAAATTCCTTGCAAGTGTTTGCGATTTTGATATATTTCGTAAATATTTGAACTTTAAATGCCTACCTATAAACAAAAGTTGTGACTAACATTTTTTTTTAATTTTTTTTTACTACGATAATAAACTTATACTTGATTTAGTTGTAAATAAGAATGAAATGAAAAATATAAGAATCCATTTCCGAGAAAACTTTAGAAAAGAGAAATAAAAATCAAATTTAGTTTTCAAAATTTAAATCGAGCTACTGGAAGTATGTTTTTCTTTTGCTTATTGAGCTAAATCTATGAAAAAAAAAATGGTTGTTCCAGCCCCCTTAAATGAGATGTTTGGATTTGTAGTGGTTGACTGTTCATTATTGACTATAGGTCATTCAATACATTATAATACAAAATATACTAATAAAGATGTAAAATATTAAAACATTTTACAATACATGTTTTACAAATTTGATTAGTAATAGTTTAAATTCTAAATAATTAATCATTGTACTCTATATTTTACTATGTTTATTGTACTGTATATTTTAATTTTTCGTGTTTTATAATATTTAAAAAAAAAAATCTAACAAAGCTTAAATAATATTCAGATTTAAAATAACATATATATTAGAGTTATTATTTTACATTTTTTTTTTTTTTTGTAAAACTCAACTTTATAGAAATCACAAATAAAGAATACTTGATAACTTATGTAATTATAACATCAACAAAGAATTAATTATTAAAAAACTATTTCCTTTATAATGAATATACTATATTATAAAATTTATATTTATATAAATGTATACATTTTGAGAATTATTTTCGTTGTATAATTATTAAAATTAATAATGCAGGTAATACAATAATACAATACTCGAATAATTCAAAAAGATTAAAATTAATAATACTCTCCCATTAGTATTATTCATACTATTTTTTTTATAAAACAATAAGTTTTTTTCTTTGATCTTCTTCATGCTCTGAAACTGATAATGAAATATGTTGAGATCTTGAGTTACTCTCATAAATATACCTTTCATCATTATAATTAACAAAAGATCCATAAGGAGCTGAAGGAACATTACCTTTTATTAACTCATCCTAAAAAATATAATTTAATTAGAATTATTAAATCTAAAATAAATTAAATTTTAATTCATTAAAAATATCAACAAAATAATTAAAAATTAAATTACATTTATTCAATTCATAAATTATGTATAATTATATTCTATAGAAAAAAAAAAATTTATTGATGCATATTTATTGAACTGAAAACTAAAAATATGAAATTTTTTAAACAAAAATGTTACTATGAAAATTTAAAATTCCTTATAGAATATTATTTTCAAATTCATCAATGATATTTGCCAATGTTAATGCCAATCTTAAGTGAATGTCAACATACAACAATTTTGGACTTCATCATAGTAACAACATGTATACTTCAAGATCAAATTATTTTGATATTTCTATGCTATTAAATGACCTACGCTAGTTTTATTTTAGTAGAAAAAAAAATGAGAATACTAGTTTACTTATAATATAAAATGTATTTTTTCTGTAAATAATAAGTTTGCCGATGACACATGCGTAGCATCATCTGACCCAGATATATACACTGCAACGGAAAACCTACAACCCCATTTAAATGAGCTACAAAATTGGTTTAATCTATGGAGAATTAAAATATATCATCACACATCACATGTACACTTCGACCCAATAACAGCCCTTCGGTTACCTACATTCAATAACGAAAATATTACCAGAGAAAATTCAGTAAAATATTTAGGTATTCATCTAGACCAAAGATTAACATGGGTCACTCACATAAAAACTAAAAGGAAATCAATTAAAATAAAACTACATAAACTTCGAGAACTTCTCCGTTCTAAAATTTTACTTAGCGACAGAACTCTTGTATACAAACAATTATTTCGTCCTGCAATGACATACGGAACACAAAAATGGGGATCGACCAAAATGTCAAACCTAAATCTTCTCCAATCATTTCTGTCGATTACTCTCCGCCTCCTGACAAATGTACCTTGGTATGTTAGTAATCATACAATCCATAAAAACCTAAACATTTCTACTCTTCACACCCTCGCTTCTGCACACTATAAAAAATTTCATTTTTATACAAATAATCATTCAAACCCACTAATTTCAAATCTCTCCTCTAAGATTTTCCCTGATAACCCTCCCTGTAAACTAAAACGCAATTGGCCTCGTGATATACTTCGCTAAATAAATTAATAAAAAAAAAAAAAACAGTTTGAAGTAGTTTCGATGGACGCCCCTTCACTCAAGCTTTCGAACCTTGTACATAAAAAAAAATATATCAAATTTACTTATTGTTTTAGTATATTACAGATTGTAAATACATATTTTTATCTATTTTAATAAAAAAAAAATATAATAAGTTAAATTAGTTATTAATCTAAAAATTCAAGGTAATTACTTCATTAAAAGGATTCTCATAAGCATGGCATTCTGGTTCAAGTTGTTCAGGTTGAATAATTTTTTTTTTATTGTTGAACATTGGGTTTTGAAAATGAAACCTATGAAATAGTTATAATTAAGGTATAATATTTAGGTATAATTGCTGTCGGTTTAACCACAAAAAAAAGAAAAAAAAAAGAAAAGTATTATTACTTTTAATGAACAGAAATATCAAAATATTTCTTGTAATTATATAAGTTAAAGATATTACCTAAGTGATGTTTTTAATGGTTTCTTTTTGTAGTGATATAGATAATAATAAAACAATGACAATCCCAGAATTATAACTATAAAAAAAGCAACAAACAGTGAAATCCTATTACTATTTTTATTCATAATTTTAAATGTTGGCAATTTTCTGTGACCAGCATCCTAAAATAAATTAAATATTATAAAACTCAAAATCAACATATTAAAATATAAATTACATCACAAATAGCTCCCGGTTCAACTTGTGATCCATCTTCACAAACACACATGGGTCCCTTTGATCCAGAAGTACAAATAAAATCACAATGAATGTGATGACAAACATTTGTTGCTAAAATAAAATATTAATTATTTATTACATTTTATTAATACAATATTTTATCAGTGATTTTTTTTTATATTTTTTTAATAATTAAATTGGGTTTTTGCACATATATTTGTACATCTACGTACAATTTTGATTTTATTACAATCAAATAAAATTATTTATTTACCTACCTATACATGTAATAAATTTGAGTTAAAATATTATATTTGATATTAATATTTATAATATATAGCTATACATTACTTATACAGCTATTAATCACTTAAAAGTGACAAATAATATTTTAACAACTATCACTCAGAATTGTTTTTTAGAATATGATGATTTATCATTTTTAAATTTAAACATATAGTATCATTCAATAAATAGTTACATAATACCTGCCCCAGTTGGTACTCTCTAGACAGTCTTTTGAGCCCTTATTTTTTCTTTTTTTTTTTAATGAAAAAAATTTTTAATTTATTTTTTTATAAGTTAATTATCCATCAATAACTATAGTAGGCGACAGGGCTGTATTTAGACTTACTTCTTGGGGGGGGGACTCGAATTTTTTCTTTAATTCAGGCTCAAAATGTACAAGTAAAATGTTTGGTAATATTTATATTAGGTGAATACTTAATATTTGTGGTTTTTTTTTTTTTGTTTATCTAATGCCGGATCATTAGAATGGACTTTTGTGTAGTTCTTTTTTAACACTTATCTGTGTTTTGAAAGTTTCGCTTGTGATTTATTTGATTTTTCACTAAGTATGGATCAGGGCTTAAATCAAAATAATATATATTATTTACCGTTATGGGACATTTAAACGTTATAAGCAATTAAGGGTTTAACGCTATAAATAATTTAAACGTTATATAAATTTAAATGTTTAAAAAATTTTCCGTTTACCGTTATTATTAAAATTATTATTGACAATTAAAACGTTATGAACAATTTAGCGTTTTGCGTTATTTAAATTAGTATAAAATTTAAAACGTTTTCAAATGTAGAATTTACCAATCAATACTATGAAATACAACATTACATATTTTAAATATTATATTATATATATTACCTTTAACCTGTGGTGTATTGGTAAATATATTTTTGGGTATACGCACTAAAAAAATATGGATATTAATTTTAAAATAAATTTTCTCGCTTCACACGACAATTATTTTCTCTCAATAAGTTCGAAAAAATTTAATTAATCCTTTGTAACTACATGTTTATAACTTCTATTAAGATTATAAAATATAAAACCACTAGATACTAGATACTACACCACTAGATATACATTTGCAGCGCGTTACAAATTGCATGATGCAGTTTAAGAACAATGGGCTGAATGTCCACACTCCATACTATTTTATTCAATGTTATTCACTACAGTTAACAAAATACATTAAACACATTAAACGTATTTTGCATGTTTTTTTTTTGGGGGGGGGAGGAGTGTCCAGATAATATAGGTATATACTTATTTGTTAATTGGTTGTAACAATTCTCTGTTTTATATTTACTACCACTAAGTTCATAATATACTCATCTAATATTGTAATAAAAAATTTTTTATTTATTTAATTAAAAGTAGTAATTTTTATGTAATTTAAATCATACATGTATAAAATACCTACTGTAAACATAATTTTAATTTAAGAATAAAAACAAATAATAATAATTTTTAAAATAGAAAATATGAAATAATAAATACACTTAAAAGTATTATATAAATTAATTTAAATGATAAATTCAAGACGCCTTTTTTTAAGCTTAATTTCTTCAAAACATCATCAGTAGTAATTTGTTAATTTCTGTGAATCGATAACATGGCCAAACCATTTAATCTCTTCTATAATAAAATTTAAAATATATTACTTTTAGATAAATAAAATAAACTATTAATAAATTATATTTACTTGAGATATTGTGTTTCGTAAGTAAGTCTTTATTCTTTTTTAAATTTGAAAAGGTTCTCTCAATCGATGAAGAAGAAATTAGTAATGTTGCAAATATTTGTAGCAATTTAAAAACATTTGGATATATTTCTTGATTGCATAGTATTATTGCTTCCATTGCGTTTTTTGGTAAATTACAAGTCTCAACATTTTTAACCGTCTTTGCCATAGTTTATATTCTGATAATAAAATAGAATCTTGACATTTACTTAAATCAGTCGTGTAAGTTTTTGCCAACTTTAAAAATGTCGTTTCATTTTGTTCAACAGATATTAACGATTTAAAATCTCAAAAATTGTACTTTTGTGGTCGATAAATCTTGATTTTAGTTGTTCGATGAATGTATCTAAATAAGGTATAAATACGCTCATTCAAAAATAGGTTTCTGATGATTCAGTGACAATTTTAACTCTATTTTTTTTGTCTACCTGTTATTCTTGGCATAGATATATCTACATTAAACGTACTTGCTAAACTTTTTGAATCTTCAAAAATAGTATGAAATTTAATATTTACATTTGTTCGTAATGTCTGAAATTCTTTTAAGGTATCTTCTGCAAGGCTCATAGCTTCTACTAAATCTATATTTATCCGTTGTAATTGTTTTGGTAATAACAGTCCAAGACTAAATTCTTTAGTAATTATTATAATTCTTCAATTGCATTATTTAAAACATCTTTACGCTTCAGATATATAAAAAAATCTCTAGTTTTTGAAATTGTCCCTAAACAATTTCTTATTCCTTGTACTAAGCAGGAATTAGTTACAGAAAGATTTAACACATGAGCTGCGCAATGAATATACAAGGCAAGTGGATAACTTTTGCGAATTACCGCTTGAACTCCATTGAATGCACCAGACATTGTAAAGGCACCATCGTATCCTTGTCCCCTCATATATTTCAAATAAATTCCAAATGCATGTAAATTATTTAAAATTGTATTTGCTAAACCTATACCGGTCATGTCTGTTGTAGGGAAAAATCGAAGAAAATCTCCATGGAGTACTTTAGTTTCAATATTTAAATATTTTACACGTAATGAAATCTGTTCTATGCCAGAGATATCTGCTGTTTCATCAGCAAGAATAGTGAAACATTTTTGAGAATTTACTCTTGTAACAATTTTTTTTAAAATAATTTAATTGCAAGATTCTATTATATCATTTTGAATTATATACTGAATATTACCGGAAGATTCTAAAAATGATTTTAAGTCTGGATCTCCTTGTGCTCTATATCGAAGTATTTCTTGGAAGTTACCTTAATTTTTGTCAAGATGGACATCGTCAGCTTCTTCAATAGTTGTTTTCCCTGAATCTCTATGGCTTCTAAGGGAAATATTTTGTTTACCACATAATAAAATTATTGGAATTATATTCTTTCGATTCTTTTCAATTTGATGTATTTTGCCTGTTTCTAATTTATAAATTATAGATTGAGAAGGATTTTTTTGTACTTCAAGAAAATGATCAGCGCTACATAGGTACACAAGTTTAATGATATTCCCGATTTGAGTGTTCCTTGAAATCTTCTATTGCCTTTCTCCAGTTATTATATTTATTTTTTACTAAAGCACCTAATCCCTAAGAATTATGTCCTTCAGACTAAGAGAAACTTACACATATTTTAGAGAAAGCTCCGTTTACTTTAGCTGAATATGTCAGCCAAGGAAATTTTAAAAGCCAGGAATATTGAAATTTTAAATGTTTCCTTTTATTTTGTAAAATGTATGATTTTGATGGAAATTGTAATCTATTAGTGGAACCCAAACTTGTGTCATACAATAGCTATTTCTTTTTCGGTTAATGTTCGATTAATATAAAATCCAATATCATGACAATTATAATCAGTATTAATGATTAATTGCGAGGTTAATTGGGAATCACAACTCGATGGTTTAATATTTGGAACAGTTAATGATTGTTCATTGGAATCCATTACTTTAGACGACTTTTTAAACTCACTTGATACAGTAGACGGCGATAGTTCTCGTTTGGACTGTATTTTAAAGAAAGAAGTTATAGAATTTTGATTTGTTTGTGACATTTCAATTAATATTTTAATTCAATCTCTTTACTTAATATCTGAAATAAGTATAATGCAAAAATTGTATTTTCTAGGTCATAATAGTTTTACAATTAAAAATGCATAATGGATGATTATTCTAATTTTAACGCTTCTGTGAATATGTGATCCTAGTTTTAATACTTAAATAATAATAAAGCAACGAGAAAAAATGACTTAAAAATATTAGGATTCTATATAATTTAGATAAAGAATATTATATAATATGCCTATTATTAGTTTAAAAAATACTTAATTATAATACAGTAAAACCTCGATAAGACGAAATCGCTTAGGACCATGATATTTTTCCGTGTTAACGGGGTTTCCGTCTTGACGGGGTTAGTTAATTGTATGTAATTTGAAACGGGACCAAAAATATGTTCCGTTATACCGAGGTTTCCGTCTTACCGAAGTTCCGTCTTATCGAGGTTTTACTGTATTTTAATTTGAATTAATATTAATTTATGAATTATGTGCATTTGTGAAAAATATATATTATAAATAATATAGGTAGGTACTCACCAATGACAATAATATGATAATATTATTATTTCACTGTATATTTTATCTGCTTTCTTTCTTTGACGACGATTAAATGAAAAATGATTCAAATTCAATTGATAAATAATAATTTGTTTTAAAATAAATGTACATGGACATTTAAGATTCAACGTATTAATATATTAAAAAAAAAGAAACATCATTGTAATATATTAATATCTAAATAAACACAAATTCCCGCTGAAAAAACAAGTAAAGCTCGATTCTCACTAGCGGTCTTGGTTCGGTTCGGTCACGGTCAAGTCACGGTCAAGAATTATGATGTACAGTTCTCATTACCGGTCACAATCAGTCAAGTTCTATCTAAACGTTGCTACAAAATGTACAAAAGTGTTCAAAAAATAATCAAAATAATGGATACGACCGAGATTAGCGTGACGGTTGATTATTCACACTAAGCGGTCTTGATCAAAAAGCTCGTGACCGCGGCAGTCTAGATCGTGCATCGATCGGTCGAGACTTGACTGGACCTGACCATGACTTGATCGTGATCGATAGTGTGTACGATGCCGTTGGATTATGTACTATCGATGTTAACTTGACGGTGACCGGACCGAACTGAGACCGCTAGTGTGAATCGAGCTTAACACAGACACATGAAAGCACGGAGCCGCAAGATAAAAATATAAATTGCATGTATACTATAATAGGATAATAATAACATAATATTATTTAAACATATTAATATATATTAGTAACTATATAGTTATCATCATCGGTCAAAATAATTTAATAATTATTAATATATATTTTGTTAGTTACATTCGATACCAGTGGTGCTATAAGAATAACAGTTTTATAAATAATTAAAAATATAATAGGATAATAAGTACATTATTTAAAACTAAATTTATTTTCTTTCCTAATTAGTTCAGGACTTTATATAATATTAAAATAGTTCATAACGAACCACATATTTTTGTTTGTCAAATTCCTTTTAAAATTTATCAAAATTAAAGATTGAATTTTTTTTTTTTTTTGGTTTGGGGTGTCCAGACACCGTGAACCCCCCCCCCAAAAAAAAAAAATACGCCACTGCAATTGGTGCAACAACCAGACAAATCCAATCATTAAATACAGAGATATTGTACAAATGGAGATGTCTGGTTTGTATTTTGGTGCAACAATAAGACATATCCAGATATATATCTAGTTGTTGCTCCAAAATGTTGGTCATATTGTATTTAAAATATGATTACGTCTTGTTATCACATTGTTGTACTATCATACTCACATTTGTTGCCGGCTTTACGGTGTTTATCTTGTTCATTACAATAAATTTTAAATAAATAATACTACATATTATAATTTAAAATATTTTTTATTTAACATTAAATACGGAAATACTTAATAATATAATGAGTGATATTAGTTATACAAGTTTTGACGATTCTATCAATGATCCCGATTATTCAAATACGTTTTCATCAATTGAAGTATAGGATTTTGAAAATATGTCTGAGTTTTAATTCAGTTAACACTGCCAGTGCTTCTTTTATGTTATGTTTTAAAATTAATAAGTTATTTCAATTTTGTTTGTTTTTATTCATACAGTAAAACCTCGATAAGACGGAAACCTCGGTATAACGGAACATTTTTTTGGTCCCGTTTCAAATTACATACAATTAACTAACCCCGTCAAGACGGAAACCCCGTTAACACGAAAAAATATGGTCCTAAGCGATTTTGTCTTATCGAGGTTTTACTGTATAAACATTTTATCTATAAGTGTTAAATACTCATATTGTTTAATAATAATTAAATATGTTGATATAAATATGTTTCTTTTTCATTTACACACCTTGAACATAATATATTTTATTCTATTATTTTTTATTAAGTTTGAAAAATTTCATTTAAAATATTATTTTATATTGCCAGTTTTCTTTCTTTTATGTTTTTAAAATGAATAAGTTATTTAAATTGTATTGGTTTGTTATACATATTATAAGCTTTTATCAGCTATAAGTGATTTATAAGTTAATTTTTTACACCATTTGTTAATTTATAAAACAGTTTTTTGTTCCTCCTGAACAATTTGATAAAACGGATGTGTTTGGTTGTTGCCGCAAGGTCTTCAATTGGTAATGCTTATTTATATATTATTAGTTGATAAATTTATTGCCATTTTAAACATCCTTTATATATATTTATATAAATATATTATTTAGATAACCTAGTAATTTAAGTCAGTTTTATAAAAATAACTATGTTCCAAATCTATTTTACTGATAGTTATTTTTCGATGGTAATTTATTTTATATTTCAGTCGTTTATCATTTTCTGTTATGTTATTCGATATTAATTTTAATAGTTTTTCGTTTCTGTTTCGTTATCTGTTATCGATTTTAATCGTTTTTTGAATAGTTTAACGTTATACTTATAACGCTTTAAAAACGTTTTGGTGCTCTGGTATGGATACTAAGTATCGTTATGAAATGATCTCTTCCCCCTCCTAAAATACGCTCCTGACAGGCGAGTATACAAAGTACTCACTTACTATAACACATAATCACATTAATAGGTATACATAACAGATTATAAAATAACTAAAACCAAAATACCGTTAATTTGTTTGGACTGTTGACTGATCATGAATATATCAATTGGAGCAAATACTTGAACAGGAATTGATTCACACTGAACATCTTTGATAGCAAATACTTTACATTTAAATATAGGATACCCAGTAATATCATTGGTCCAAAACAGTTTATCTTCATACAATGATATTTTCTTTGGTAAATGCTAATTTGAAACACAGTTTATTAATTATTAACTGTATTTATTATTATTAATTCGAGATTAATAAAAATAATTCAATCAGTCCCATTAATTTTCTTACATATGTAGAGATCAACAATATCCTATTAGATCCATTATAATTAGCCCTTTCAATAGTTGAATTAACCATATCAACCCAATAGACCATATGTTTGATGGGATCTACAGTTAAATCAATAACATCATGAAGATCTTCATTGATTATTGTTTTCACATTGTGTCCACTGCAATCGGATTGCCTTATTATTGTTGTAGGAGAACTCCATATAACCCATATACTTTCCGCCCAAAACATCATACTGTAAATTTGAATGAAATAGTTTTAAATTTTATTTAATGTAAAAATAATTCTTTAATGTTACCCAGACAAAGGGTCAATGGTAAAAGCCTTAATTCTTGAATGAACATTAGCATTGTAAATTGTAGCACATCGTTTAGCATTTAAATTACAAACAACAATATCACAATGATTTTCTATAAAGTAAATATTTTCTGTTAACCAATCAATACGAACCAAACTAGGACTTATCAGATCTTTCATGTATACTTTATTTTCTTGTTGCATATCCATACAAATAAGAGTACCTGCTTCTTCTAAAAGTATCAAATATAATTAAAATATTTAATATTAAAATAAACAGTAATATAATATAAAAGAAAAAATAAGGTAAAACAGTATTTTGTTATGGATACATAGATTCATGAATGCGAATTATATTTTTATAGTGTATTGATCTAAATAATTTGTATATTGTATTTATTATTATATTTTTACTATAGCTCTCATTTATAAGATAATTATTAGATATAAAATTAGGTACTAAAAATATATAATACTATTAAATTATATATCCTAGTTTAATTATAATAAAAGACCGGATTTATATATATTTTATATTAAAAAATTTGCATTAAAAAAGTTTCAAACATGCACTTCAAAAGCAAAATATAATTGATAGTAAAAATAGTAGTATATAATTTATATTAGCCATTCATTTATTTACAGCTATTTATTTATTACAATTTATGAATTATAAACTTATAAAAATAAAAATATGAAATAGGTATGAATGAAAAAATTATAAAATTTAAACGTTATTAGAAAAACAATAAGAATAATATTTTACATATTGGTCTTGGTTAAATTATAATGACGGTTTGTAACAATAGAGTTGTACATAGAAAAACTAAAAAGATATATATGAAAAATTGAAAAATAATATAATAATATTAATAATAATAATAAGTTCTCGGCGAACAGTCGTCACGAGCGCATGTTTAGTCACCGCTCTGTTAATGTTCGCTCGTTCTTTATCTTTCGATCTCATGTTGTTATTCAAACCATATACCAAAATGTCGAGTTAAGTGTCGCGTTTACACGTGTCTACTTTTTGAAACTCTACGCGACGGATCCTTCCTCAAATCACTGGTAAACCAAATTTTTTAACGAGCTAGTAAGTATACACACCATATACTAATATAGTTCGCCGTATATAACCACGCGCTCAGCGCGGCACGTCTTATCTTTGACCCGCACGTCGGTGCCTCTCCACCTTATCAAAGGTGCACGCGCACGACACCAATTAAGTTAATTAGATACATATCTACACTCATTATAACAATTCATAGCTATTGGCGTTATAGTTATACCACACGCAACATCCTATTATGGCCTCAAAGAAAACCGTACCACCGATAAAAATAAAAATACAACGGAATCAGTCAAACAATGATGACCCGTTTCGTTCCCCTCGTACCCCTTCTTCAAAAATAAGAAATAACAGTTCTTCGGACAACCAGACGAAAATATTCTCGTCACCAAATCGCTATTCTGTACTCAATGAACCAAGCTCCTTTGATTTCAATAACTCCGAAAACGCCGACATCACTGACAAAATCTCTGATAATACAGTAACTAACAACTGCTCCGCAGGCCCTACACCAATGATTTCGTCTGACGAAATTTCAGAAAATACCAAAGTACTCCGGATTTTTATTTTAAATCATAATCTTGATTTCAACCTCCTATGCAAGACTCTCGTTGATATCGTTGGCGAAAATGGATTTCTCTGCAAATCCACTCAAAAAAATGTCAAAGTGCAAGCCAACTCCTCAAACAACTACCGTCAAATTATTAAATTTCTCAATACCCAACCAAACGCTCAATTTCACACCTACCAATTCCAAAGCGAAAAACCCATCAGAGTTGTAATCAGAAATCTCCACCCCTACACATCCTGTGATGATATAAAATCCGCGTTGGAAAACTTTAACCTATCAGTCCTCCAAGTGGTAAACGTTTTGCAACAGCAAACAAAGATAGCTCTTCCCCTGTTCTTCGTAGACCTGGTTAAAGCCGATAACTCAAAAACGATATCACTTCAATTCTCCACACCAAGATCAAGATTGAAGAGCCTCACAAACGCCGAGACCTAGTCCAGTGTCAAAATTGCCAAGATTATGGACACACACGCTCTTATTATAACCACTCTCCACGCTGTTCGATGTGGCAAAAATCACCTTTCATCCTTGTGCGACAAACCAATTGACGTCCCAACCTGTGCGCTGTGTCTAGGAAACCATCCCGCTAACTACTTAAGAAACCAGCCCACAGGTGACCTCCTCGTTACCTCGCTCAACCAAAACTCAATCTCATATATCTTACTCCCAATCCACATCTGGTGCCAAACCAAATCCCTCGACTCCCTCCCCTGATGACTCCACCGATATCAACTCCGCTCTTAATGCCTTCATATTAGAAATTAAAGCTTTAATAAACCCTCTCCTAGCACTGCTTACTACAGTCGTCACTCAATTAATTAAAAATAACAATGATAAATAATCAGACAAATAACTCTCTCCTCATTCTCCTCTGGAATTGTAACGGTATTTTAAGCCATACCAACGAACTAATTGCCATATTACACGAAAAAAGAATCGTAATAACCCTTATCGCTGAATCTCACCTAACAGTTAACTCAAGACTAAATATTCCTGGTTATCAAGTTATTACTTCTAACCACCCTGATGGCACAGCCCATGCAGGCTCTGCGATCCTAATTCGCTCAATTCAATTCAATCGTCTCCACATTTACAATAAAGACTATTTACAAGTCTGTGCAATTTCTATGACAATAAATCACATTCCGCTCTCAATAGCCGCTGCTTACAGTCCCCCAAAACATAACATAACACTTGACCAATTCAAAAAAATTTTTAATTACCTAGGACATAACTTCTTAGTTGGTGGAGATATTAACGCAAAACATCCTCACTGGGGCTGCCGTGCCAGCAACCCTCGGGGCAACATTCTTCTACAAATCATCTCCCACAAACGATACAAAGTTCACTCTCCCCCCGACCCAACTTACTGGCCCACATGCTCATCTAAACGTCCTGAAATCCTTGACATCTTCATCTCCAATGTACCAAATGGTCTCTACCAACACATCGAAAATTTTAACTTCCTTCTCTTTGATCATTCAGCCGTCCTCCTCATCCTAAACGCCTCACCACCAATTCAAACAGAAACACGGACTGGGATTCATTTCGGTCACAACTCTCTAACGATACTAATCTAAATATAAAACTTAAATCTCCAGAAGACATTGAGGATGCTATTACCAAGTTAAATCAATCGATACAAAGAGCCGCGTGAAACTCTACCCCAATGTCACAACCCTTCCCTCCCTTTTCCATAAATATTCCTGCTCAAATACATCATGTAACTAGCGAAAAACGCCGTGCAAGAACTCAATGGCAACGAACCAAATATCCCTCCGACAAAAATCGTCTAAACTCCCTATCTACACAATTAAAAAGACTGATGTTGAACTTCAGAAACCAATCATTTACTAACTATATGGCCTCACTATCCTTCAAAGATGGTTCTATATGAAAAGCCACAAAAAAAAGCCCTTAAAGAAAAAGCTTCATATTCTCCCCTAAAACAACCCAACAACACATGGGCCATTGCGGACCCAGTAAAAGCAGATTTCTTTAAAACTCACCTAGCCGAAGTCTTTAAACCTCATAATAATATAAACAACCCAGCCTTTTCCAACGAAATTGTAAAATTTTTGCTTTCCTCCTAACAAATGACTCTACCCCTTAAAGCGTTCTCTCCTGCAGAAGTCCAACATTGCATTGAAACATTCCCTAAAAAGAAGGCGCCCGGTTTCGATCTCATAACCTACGAAGTAGCCAAACATCTCCCAAGGAAAACACTAATACTTCTTACGTACATTTTTAATTCAATATTCGTTTATCTTACTTCCCGCTTCAGTGGAAGTTCTCCATCATTATAGTCATTCCCAAACCTGGTAAGCCTCCCGACATTCCTTCTTCATACAGACCTATAAGTCTTCTACCTTTATTTTCGAAGGTACTTGAAAAGCTAGTGCTCAAACGAATTAGTCCGATCATAAATAACTCTAAAATTATACCCAACTCGCAATTCGGTTTTCGAAATCTTCATTCCACAATCCACCAAGTAAATCGTATAACTGACACAATTGCTTCAGCTCTAGAAAAAAAACAATATTGTAATGCTGTTTTCCTCGATGTCGTTCAAGCTTTCGACAAGGTATGGCACTTTGGCCTCCTATATAAATTTAAAAAAAATCCTCCCACCCGCTTTCTATCTATTTTTTAAATCATATCTCGATAACCATCAATTTGCTGTTCTGTATCTCTTAACAACATCACAATTCCAACCTCACCAAGCATAAAATACCTTGGCATATATTTGACAAAAAACTAAACTGGGCCCATCATACTCATAACATCAAAATTAAACTAAACTCTCGTCTTCGTTCCCTTAATTTTTTTTTAACGCGAAATCAAAACTTACACTTAACACTAAACTAAACTCATACAAAATTCACCTTAAACCCATTTGGACGTACGGCATCTAAATATGGGGCTCTGCAAAAAAGTCACATATAAACAAAATTCAAATAACCCAAAATAAATTGTTTCGTTTAATAACAAAGGCTCCTTTCTATGTATCCAACCAAACCTTATACTCAGACCTAAAAATGAACACTGTGTTCGAAACCGCTACCAAATGATACTCTCATTATAACTCTCTTTTCGACCATCCTAACATCCTAGCTAAATATCTAACCAATCCAATGCCTGACAACCCTCCAAAAAGATTGAAAAGAAAGTGGTGCCGCGACCTACTTCTATAATTTAACCTTACGACTCTGACCTGGAGTGTCACCAGTGGGCGGCTTTTCCTTCATGTTTTCTGGCTGTAACCTTAATTTTGTTAACACTTAAGCTTATTATACATAACTTCTATAGATTGTTTAAATCAAATAAAGAACAAAAAAAAATAATAATAATAATAATAATTCATAGACTCAAGTGCTACATTCCTACAAAACTCAGTAAATTTCTAAAATAAACAATAATCAATTTTACTATACATATTATGTTTAGACACACTAAATGAAATTTAATACTGAGTTCAGCAACTTTCTTTAGTGACTCGGCCAAATAAAAAACCCGTGTGAACCCAGCTTTAGACACAAAAGTATAAATAAATAATTTTACTTAAATATATAAATTATAATATTAAAATATAACGAGACCTAATTTCAAATCGCGTATTATTTTAAAATCAGATTCAAATGACGCAAGATATAATTTTAAATCTGAAGCTGTGTTCAGTTTATTTCTATGCTTATTATTATAATATACACAGTAGTATTCTTTAATCTACATTCTATACTCCATTTCTATAAGAAAAATTGATGGTTAAGTTTTCATTTATTATAACCAGGGCTCGGTAATTAAAGCATTTGCTTATTTTTATGGATTGATTTAGAATGTAGCAGAGTGTTATAGAAGTGTATGTCAAGTTATAACACGTACAATTATGAAATTTGAGAGTGCCTTTTTTTGCTTTTTTCAGCAATTTTTAAAAAAACGATTATTTCCAGTTTATCTGATTATTTTTGCTTATTTGACCAGTTTTTTTTTACATTTTTATAGTTTTATCCAAAGTCGTTGTTGAAAGAATTAAAATTAAAATTAAAATACATTGTCACGTAGTTCGTCGCCGTCAAAAGCATCGTTGCAGAGTTAACAAAGATATTCCAACGCTGAAAATAAATCTAAGTATTAAACGTCAGAATGATCAAGAACAGAGAGAACAGTTTACATTTTATTTTTTAAAAAAATCCCTTAGAAAATCCATAAAAAAACTTTAAGTCTTAAAACTGAAAATTTATTTTTATTTTGTTTGATTTTTTAGTTAGAATTTTATAGTTTTTTTTTTTTTTTTTGAATAAATATTTTTGCTTAATTTTAATTTTTTTAAATGCTTATTTTAGTGCTTATAATAATTTTTTTAAGCGCTTATTTTAATGATTTTAAGTGCTATAAGTCCCGAGCCCTGATTATAACATATATTGTATATCTCCGAAACAAATCCTTTTAAATAGAACAAATTCAATATTTTCCATCATTAAACAATTTTTTCCGTCTACCTCTTAGGGTACGCGTATCCAAGGTTCGGAACCGATGATCTACGAACACGGATGTATTATTTTTAAAAATATTTTCAATTTTTGTGATTTACAATACCAACCTTCCTACCCACCTTTCATATGGGACCCTTTTTTTCGTTTGACTCGATAACTCCTTGACGGTTAAATATAGACTGAAGAATTAATTATTAACTACAGTACCTACTCAACATGGGTACACGACTACATGATCATATTATATGAGCATATGGAATTTGTATAATATATTGATAATATACAATTACAATAGAAATTAGAAAAATAATAGTCATTAGATATTTTATGGTCTTAAACAAAAAAAGATTTTTTAATTTAATTTTTTAAGCCCACTCACAAGACCAAGCTGCCCAAACGAAAACTTTGATTATAAATTGACGGCCGTAGTGGTACATTATCCATTACTCATGTAGAATGCGAACGTACAATTTCAATATTAAAATTTGTCAAAAACTATTTAAAAAATACAATAGGCCAAAATGTATTAGATACCTAGCTTATTATTAATGAATGATGAAAAAAGTATTCTCAATAAAATGGATTTTGAAGAAATTATTAATATGTAGAAACTAAAAACCCATTATTTGGTACAATGTTATTTTAAAATTAAAGATAAATTCATATTATTATAATAATTGTATCTTTTATATTGTAATATATGAGTTATACAAATTGAAATAGATTATATACTATTTGCGAGCGAAGTGAGCACCTCTTTTTCACATAGATGCCCTTTTTAGAACTTTCAGTAGACCAAAAATTACCTATCTGCCCATGGATAAAATAATTACATACAACGTTATGAAATAAAATTAAAAAATTTAAAAGCATAGGTAATAAATAAAAACATGTGTTTTCATGGAAATATGCACTTATAAACAAAATATACAAAAAAAATATGAACATACAGTTCTATGCAAAACCGGTCTAATAATTAAATAAACTATCTATAGATAAAATAAATTTGTTTTACCTGATGTCCAATATATAAGATTTCGCCTAATATCTATATCAAAACTTGATATTTGGACTCCTGGGTTTGAAAAAAGCAATTTAGATTCTTTAAAATCCCCAGAAGTACTTCTAATTTTATCAATTTCTGAATAAACCAATTCCATTGGAGGTCCTACAACATAATTTCAATAAATAATATTATGTTTTATCATATATTTGATGTACCTATTTCATTGAGTATGTGATTTTATACATGCCTAATGCTTTACAAGAACTTTTATCTGAGCGTAACATATAATCTGAATTCAAACAATTACAACTAAATGAACCATCCAAATTTGTACAATATTGAGCACATACATTTTTGTTTTCACATTCATTGATATCTTCACAGGTTTTACCATCATGTGATACTTTATAGCCATGGTAACAAATACATTTTCCACCTTTTGGTGTTTCTTGACAGATATGACTACAGTTCATAAATTGACAAGATAAACCTTTTACAAAATCATACAAAACTAATTATTATTATACACATAAATATAATATAGCATTATGTGTGTTACTCATTATTGATAAAAATTACAGTAAATATTTAAAGGTATATTACCACAGAAACCTCCTTCATCAGAACCATCTTTGCAATTCATATGTTTATTACAAACTTGATCTAAAGGAATGCATTCTTCGTTTTTACATAAATAACCGTCACATTTATGTGCTGACAATATTGAAACCGAAGAATTTTGAAAATGCATGTTACATGTCTCGGAACTTTCGTCTGACTGATCGCCACAGTCATCAGTTTTATCGCACAACCAATCTTTTGGAACGCAACGTTTATTATTGCATTCGAAAAAATCAGATTTTTGACATCCACAATTCAATTCGTCCTCAGAGTGTTTGCATTCTGATGTACTATTACATCTAGCTTCAATTGGTACACAATGACCATATATATTCTCACATTCAAATTCTTTTTCCTCATTACATATTTTAATTGGTTTTGATATGTATGCATGACTTAGAATACAACCGTATTCATCAGAATTATCATCACAATCATTTTCACTATTACAGGTAAATTCATTTGATATACATCGACCATTGCTGCATGCAAATTGATCAATTTTACATTTTTTTGTACCTATAATTATTTCATTACAAAAATTATATTATAAATTCATATTTATATATAAGTATTTGAAAATGTTTAAATCATACTACAAGTAATATGTTCATCTGAACCATCAATGCAATCAATTTCACCATCACATTCCCAAGTAGCAGCGATACAAGTTCCAGATTTACATCTAAATTCCATATGATGACATGTATGATTCTGACAGTTCAGTTCATCTTGACCGTCCGTACAATCTAGATTACCATCGCATAGAAAACTTATTTGAATACATTCCCCCGTTGGACATTGATATTCTGTAACTATAAGTGGTTTTTGACCTTTAATAATGCGGCACACTTCATCTCCAACAAAATTTTCGCAGCACACCAATCCATACAGGGGTATGCCTAGGAGATGGTTTTGAGGGTTCAAACCTCCCCAAATTGACTTTAAATTTTTTTCATGGTAAAAATCTTATAATATTATTGTATTACATTACAGTCACGGTGAAATAAAATATTGTTCTAAAATATTGAATGAATGTTTGATTACACTATTTATAGCTCTTATACTATTTTTTTCTCATGTTATTGAGTGACACGACGGCATCAACCAGAAGAGTTCGGAGAATCAGTGTAATCTAGATGCGATAATAATGAGATTATGAGTTTTTCGTTTAACCCGTTTTACTTAATCTATTTTATTTTGGGTGATACGGTTTGATTATTTGATTAGCACTAGAATACTGACAAAATGCTTAGTATGATTCTAAGCTCTAGCCATAGTGTCTTCAGTTTTGTGTGTATTATTACTGTAATTTGACAGACGTCAGTACTTGTGTGTAATATACGATTGAATTACTACAATTTTATAGTTAAGAGGATGTCAGCGCAGCTATATTTCGGTTATATATATACGGTGTGATACTCATATTTTTCAATTTATATTGTTTAATATTGTTTGGTGAAAACAAAGTGAAGGCAGTTTTACACAGTTCCAAAAATAAAAATAAAATTTTGTACGTGTTATTAACCGTATACGCATCATTGTAGCAATAGATATAGGTACGTACAAAAAAAAAAAATACATTGTATTCACACACATTATGAAACGAACGGGTACTAAGCTTAATTTCTTAATTAAAACAAAAAAAATCTTAATACAGAATTAAATGATTCAACTAGCATTCATTTTGAAGTACCCTGATCACAAATTTTTGCAAAATCCACTGATCACATTTCGACTGAATTGAATAGTTATACTGAAACTAAAATATCAGCAACTTCATCAGAAACTTTAAATATTACATATTCTCTAAACATTAACCCAAATAGAGATTTGAGTTTATACTTGAATAAAACTCTAACTGACAATGATCGTGAATTTTTTTTTACTTTCTAAATGGTTTCCTTCAAAAGAATTAGAATTTCCCGTTGATCCTAAAGATATGCGTAACTTACGTTTTCAAATTCAATGACTTGAACAATATGCATGGCTTACATATTCAGTGCAAGAAAAAGGTGCATTATGCTCATATTGCGTTTTATTTTCAAATAATCAAGTTGGTCACTCAAGTCATGAACATGTGGGTTTTTTGGTTTCAAAAGTTTTTAATTGGTGGAAAAATGCTAAACCAAATTTTAATTCTCATCAAAGTAAAAACTATCATAAATTATGCAAACAAAAAGCAGATAATTTTCTTTCAATTATTTCCAAAAAACAAAAAAATGTAACTGAGCAATTAAATTCAGAATATGCACAGCAAATAAATCAAAATCGATCTAAGATATGTTCGATAGTAAAAACGATTATTTTATGTGGTTGTTTATAACTACCAACTAAGGGAAAAATGGATTCAGGTAAAATGAATACGGGTGAGGAAAATATATCTGAAGGAAAATTTCGTACCTTTTTAAAATTTAGAGCAAATGCTGGTGATGACATTTTAAAAAAAATCATTTGGAAAAGGGGGGCAGAAAATGCTCAATATACAAGCTCTAAAACATAAAATATATTGATTGAAAATTGCGGTCAAGTAATCGCTGAACAAATAATAATTAAAATAAAACCGTGTGAGTCTTTTTTTTCTGTTATGGCTGATGAAACAACCGATATTGGGAGTCAAGAACAAATATCGTTATGTATTCTATATATCAATTCTGACTCTCGAAGTTCCAACAATTCGTAAAGATTTTTTAAATTTTGATGCTGTCTCAGATTTAAATGGCTCTGGTTTAGCGTCAGTAATTTTAGAAAATTTAAATAAACATAATATTGATCTAGAAAAAGTGGTGGGGCAGAGATATGATGGCGCCGCTATAATGAGTGGGCATTTACATAACGTTCAGGCAATAATAAGACGGACATTCCCGAGAGCTTTATTTGTACATTGTAGTGCACATTCATTAAACTTAGCAATTAGTGATGCATGTAAAATTATCGCCATTAGAAATTGTGTTGGTTGTGTTTCAAGTGTTTGCAATTTTTTCGGGGCTCAGTTCAGCGAACTGAAATTTAAAAAAAAAATTATACAAACACAAACTACTCTTTCGTTGAATATTAAAGTGATTCTTGTTGCTAAGTAGGAAACTAGGGGCAGGTGGGTAAATGCCCACTGGGCCACTCTGTGTATTTATTGTTATTTTTTTGTTACTGAATACTATAGAAGTGATGAAAGATAAACAGTACGGTATTTAGTAACAGAGTAAAGAAAAATTTTATAGTTCTATTTTATCAAATTGCGATGAATTAAAAGAAGAATATTTGTTCTGGAAAGTTAAATGGTTAAAAAAAAGATAAAAATGAAAGACCATCAAATGCTATATAAACCCCTTCTGAGTGTTCTGAGTGAGATACAATTTATCCACATATAAAAAAAAATGCTTGAAATTTTAGTTATTCTTCCAGTATCAACTACAACTGCAGAACGGACTTTTCAAGTTTACGTCGCATTAAAACATACTTGATATCAACTATTGGTAAAAACCGACTGACGAGATTAACTCTTCTATCAATTCATGACATATAAGTATACCCAGAAATTTAGTTTCAAAATTTGCTTCATATACAAACAGGATGAACTTCATTTTATAATTTTTTTAATTAAGTTATTATTATTATTATTAAAATTTTATTAATTTTTTTTTCATAATTCACCGTACTACCTAGTATATAATATTCACAATGAATATTATGTAAAAATTTTGATTTCTAAAATTGTTTCATTATTATTATTATTATTTACACTTTATACATATATGCCAATTTTAATATTTAAAGTCATAAATTATAAGTTTATAAGGTTAACTCTTATATAGTATTTTTAATATTTGACATTAGTATAATAAGATTACGGGTTTTGATGTATACACTTGTAAAAATTTATTTTATACCTACTTATTTTAATGATATAAATGTAAATTTAATACTTACGTCAAAAAAATTAAACCACCCCCAAAAATATTCCTGGGCACGCCCCTGAATCTATATATTATGTGAACCATATTATATATATATATATATATATACGTATGTATACTATTTACAGTCTACTCTATTTGAGGGTTATTGATTGTGAAATATGTATATTAATACAATCGATCGATCGAGACGGCTACGACAGGCATACTTACAATAAATAATATTATACGTATCTACAATTAGTTTGATCAGTTTTCATCTCGAATATCAATAATAAGCTGGTAAATACATACTTATAAAACAATTTATAGATTTATCGCGGCACATTTAAAGGGCGCTCGCGGCACACCAATGTGCCGCGGTACACCGGTTGGGAACCACTGCTATAATATCACGCTTGTAAATATTTATTTATAATATTTTAATAAACCCTATTCAGAAATGAGTATAATTAATTACCTGGATTACAAATATGCTTAGGGCCGCATTCTTTTTCATCAGATCCATCATTACAGTTTTTAACATTATTGCATAATAAGTTTTTGTCTAAACATTTAGTTTTATCATGACATAAAAATTGAGATTTTGGACACAAGTTTGGTATATAATGCAAACATTTAAGTAAATCTTCATCATCACCATGAGGACAGTCTTCTTTTGAATCACATCGGAATTGAGATAAAATACATTCACCGGTTAAACAACGATATTCATCAGATTTACACGGTTTTAGTGGTAAGCATTCAAGACCATTCACTGATAATACCAAACCAATTGGACAACTACAAACCTGTCCATAAAATTAAAGTATATTATTTTAAATAATTTATTAAAATATTCTATATTACACCTTTTTTTCTCTAGATAAAAGACATAGATGACTACAATTTCCATTATTTTGTAGACATGGATGTTGGACATGTTTATCAATACCAGTAACTACTGTTAAATATAAAGTTGAATCACTGTTCCAATTGTCTATGATAAAAATAAAATTAAAATATGAATCTATAATCATACAGCTCATTACTATTCAAATTACCCATATCTTTATGAAATCGCTCATTAGTATTTTTATCTATCCAATTTAAAATATTTGAACCTTCGATTACCCAAAATATTTCATTGTTGATTAAAACTATATCTTTCACAAATCCTGAAGTTTTTATAAGCTTTCTGTCTAGTCCTAAAATAAATAGAAATTAAAATTCAATGTTTTGTATAAAAATTGAAAAATTTAAGTGTTATGTAAGGTATTTTTACGTTAAGTTTTTTTATAATCTAAGTACCAACCATCTTCATTAACACTATTAATTTCATTGTTTCTCTTGTCAGTAAAATATAACCGTCTAGAGACCATATCAAAATTTAAAACAATTTCATCTTCTATCAATTCAAATTCTACTACATGAATAAGAGACTTAATATTTCCATCCATATCAATTCTATCGATATGTATTCGAGAATTATCTTTCATAGCAACAAACATATAGCTAAAAAATCAATTATGAATATATTAAAACCAAAATAATATTCATAAATTATGAATTTTATAAATAGTAAAATAGTATGTTTTACCCTTTATCTGGAACTAATGCTAGTGCAATTGGTATATGCCCTTCAACTTCATTCAAAATAGTGATTTGTATATTTGTTGATAGGCTCACAACTTCTATTGTTTTTCTATACCAATCACACCAGTAAAGGTTATTACCATGATTGTCAAATTTTAAGGAATACAAAGAACCAATTTCTGGTATAAGTAAATCTAATAATTTCATTCCAACTAAATCATACACAAATAGTTTTTTAGATTTTGAATCGTAGATGATAATGGAACCTTTAAATTGAATAGGGTAAGCAATCAAATTTTATCATAGATCATTTATTCATTTATATGTATAACATACCAGATAATGAATTATAAGCAATAGCTGATATTTTAGATATTTTATTTTTTAATGGTATTTCTTTAACTTTTTGGTGGCCTAAATGTTCTAGTTCAAGCTCTAAAATACTTCTTGGTGTTCCTACAATGAGGGTATAAGACACAGCTGTGTCATAGCAAAACAATCCTTCTGATGACAATTGCTTATTATCAGGACAAGCACAAGTATATCCATTAGAATATTCATTTTTTCTTCGGAGATATTAAGCATAAGTGACTACATTTAGCATTTTTGCAAGGATTTAATTTCTGAAAATTAATAATTATATATAAAAATTATTTTTATAATTTATGAAGTTATGCAATACCTGAGATTTAAACAGTGAAGGATGGAATATTTGCATGCCATATATTCTATTCTTACGTTCACGAACCAATGACTTTTGACTTTTACCTGTAAATTTATTACACACTTTTATTTCTTTACCCGACCAATCACTCCAGTATAATTTATCCTCGAAAATAGTAACTGAAAATGGATGATCCACTGACTGCTTTAAAATTTCCTAAAATATCAACACACATTTAAAATCTGAACCTCTAAAAATCAAAACAATATTATACTTATTAACATAAATAGAAAATGTACTTACCCTTCGATCACTTGCATCAAATTTAACTGATTCAATTATTTTTATCTTTGCATCCACCCAGTAAATACGTTTTCCATAATAATCAACATGAACACCATTTGGCCAATGAATATTTTCGGTAATAAACGCTTGTGACAAGGACCCATCCATACCAGATCGAGCAATCTTTGGACTTTCACCCCAGTCAGTCCAATACATGTAACTAAATAGGTATTTTAGCATTGATCATATTTTATACTCAGCTATTTATATTTTTAAATAACACAATTATTTATACCCATCCATTGGTGAAACAGCTATTGCCCTAGGTTTATTAATATTCTTATTACGAATAACTGTACAAACTAAGCCATTATTATCACACACTCCAATATGCTTCATTTTAGCATCAGTGAAGTATAGATTATGAGTAATACTATCTATAGCAAGATTCTCAGGTGTGCCAAGACCTATAAAAATACAACATTAGCATTAAACTTGCATACGTCTTTAAATCAGTTTTTGCTACACAATGATTTATAGTTTTAAAACTTGTTGTTTAATGTGATACTAAAAGCTAAACTTTTTTACCCGATGTCACAATAATTTCAGGTGAAGTAGAATCATTTTTATTTGCTTTGACAATACCCTGAATCCCTTCATAAATTATTGTCCAGTACATATTTAATTCGTCTACAGCTAATCCAGTTGCCTGTTGTAAATGATCAACTAAAATATGACTATTTTGTGTCATTAAGTTAAAAGTTTTTATTTGTCGTAATGATGAATATGCTAAAATTGGATCGTCGCCTATATAAATAAATGAGTTATTAAAAATAACATATAATATCGTACATCTAGAATATATTTAATATTTTGTTATTAGTAAAAGTGTTTAATAAATAAATAAATTGTAAGATAAAATACAGATTTATAATCAACATTAATCAGTCCTAGAATAATAATTTTTTATGCAGAAGTATAATTTTACAATACATTTTAAAATTTTACAAAAACAACTACAAGGAATTTTAAGTAAAATAATATAATACATTATTTATAATTTGTACCTTTAATTTTACATCTATGGTTATCTATCAATTCGTAATCTGGATCACAAGAACACGCATATTTACCATCCAACAAATTAAGGCAATGTTGATCACAAATGCCATATACTTCACATTTATTAATATCTGATGTGAAAAATATTTTTAATAAAATTTATTTATAAAGTACCTTGTTGTTTATTAATTTACCAAGACATGTATTATTTTCAGAATGTTTTCCTTTAGGACATACACACATTACGCCATGTGGTTTTCTTAAGCACTCATGTATAATAGAACAATTAATTGCATTGCATTCTTTTTCGTGACCTAAAAAATTAATTTTTTTAGTATTAATTTTTAAATAGGTAGTATAATTAATGACAAATAAGATGGGGTAGATTCTAGAAATTTTTTAGTTCTATATTTTTTTATAATGCATATGAAATGCTATATAAATGTACAGTACATTTTTTAAAATTTTAATTTTTATATTTTCAATTCTTAAGCTAAAAATTATTTTCAAATATGTTGAATAGACTTTTTATACATAATAATCAAAAAGATGCATTTTTAAAAAATTTGAAAAGACAGCAAAGTATATGCAGTATTGTTCAGAAATGTAATTCTAAAATTTTACTCTGAAGTGGTATCATAATTGCTTTGTTTTCATCGCCTAGATCTTAAGGTATACATAATAATTGTATTATTTTACCATCTATAAATAAAAATACATATAGGTTGTAAGACTTAACAAATAAAAGGTATTTTAAACTTCCTAGACATTGAGAAAGAGGGCTGCAGCTTTTATAATAATCTTAAACTAATATTATTAATAATTAAATGTCACTCATACTATTTTACATTAAATTAAAATACAAACCTGTTATATTATTACAAAGGCCGCCTTCATCTGATGCATCTAAACAATCTATATTATTATTACAAACATGTTCAACACCGATACACTTTTTATGGTCATGACATAAAAATTTACGATCTTCAATCATACATTGTTCAGGATCAACCAAAGGAAAATCTACTTAAATAAAAACATATTAAAATTCAATTAAAATATAAGTAGGTATGTATGTTTTAAACCGCAATGAGTTTCATCTGAGCCATCTCCGCAATCATCTTTTCCATCGCATCTCCACATTTTTGAAACACAGTGTAAATTTAAACATAAATAGCCATTGATACACGACGTCTAAAATATATGAAAAATATTAAAGTAAAAAAAAATAAAATATTTAGTAAACATTATTTATATACAATATAGGAAAAAAATTATACTTTTTTTTCTGCATTTTTCGACGTCTTCATCACTACCATCGTCACAGTCAACTGATTTATCGCAATGCCAATAATTTGGTATACAAGTACCATCGGCACATTGAAACTCTCCTCCTGTACATGGTCTCATTAGAGATTTCTATACAATGAATTACAATAATTGTTACTTAATGTTATAATTATTATTTTTGTATACTTGGATTTTCGTACATACAGCGTGACAATGACTTTCGTCTGACCAATCTAAGCAATCATTTACTTTATCGCATACAAAATCGATGGAAATGCATTTATTATTGGAACATTTGAAATATTCGGGGCTCAAGCATTTTACAAAATCTATATTTCAGTTTAAAATAATTAGCAATTGTTAACCATGTTATTAATACGCCTAATTCATACGCACCACAATTAACTTCATCCGTACCGTCATCACAGTCTTTGTTTCCATCACAACGTTTTGTACTAGTTATACAAATACCGTTTGAACAATAAAATTCATTGTTGTTACAAGTCTTATTATCTGAAACAACTAATAAATATACAATATATCACACCTCATACCTTAAAAATCAATTTTTTCATTATTCTTTGAATTTAAATTTGTTTTTACTACTAATATCTACTTTTTTTTTATTATTGCTGTTATCTTTACGATATTATAGCATGACAATTATTAGAATTTAAATATGAAGAAGAAAAAAAAAAGATATTACAAATAAAATAAAATAATAGGAATACTAATATAAATGATTAATGTTATACTAATTAGATAACAGCAATTCATAATAAGTGAAGTTTTTTATATGTATATATATATATATATATATGGAAACCAGCGTTGGAGATAAAATAGATGAAGAGAGTAATGACGGTGGGAGATAGAGAATTGAGAAGGATTACATCAGGAAAGGTGTAATCTAAGGAAGAGAGCTGTGAGAGTAATGAATTGCGGAGATGAGTAAGAAACGGGCAAGAGAAGAGAATGTGATGAAGATCACAAACAACTTTATGATTGTGGAGGGTGCAAAGGGGAGAGAAATTAAGTGAGAGGAGAAATTAATGAGGAGGGAAAAGATTATGATCAAATAGAAGACAAGAAAATGAGACGATTGTGGATCGGGGTAGGTCCAGACCACAGAACCAAGGAGAGTTAGGTATACAAGCGGATATAGATCTGTACCAAGTAGCGAAGTTAAGGGGAAGGGAAGACCAAAGGTCAGTCCTTGCTTTTTTAGAGTTTTTTTAAAAATGGGAAGGAAATCAGGTGTGGGTAAATACTTACTTTAAGTGTGTGTTTATTTATGAGTACCTATACATTTTGTATTAACGATAAATTATATTTCCACATAACAATAGAAACATAAAAATGAATTAAACAAATAAACGTTCCTTTATTTGTAGGTCATAATATCATTAATTTAGCAATTTTTATCCTAATATCTATTTCTTTGGCTACAACGCGGTATAGAAGATTTATAGCGTGGTCACAATTAACCAAACTAGTTATCAGTTAGGTACTATGGCCAGATTCCGGTTTTTTTAATTTCAACAATTAATTAAAGACCGTTCTTATTCACTTTTTCATTAATTTAAGACTAACTTAAGTCTTAATTTTTCGATGACTTAATATATTCAATAGAGAATTTAAAATACTTTAAATAAATGTATGTCTTATCTTAAATATTTGGGGTAGCAACATGACATTCTCGGGTGCATCCGCTATTCTTTGCTACTCAATAATTACGCCCTTCGCGGTTTCATAAATATTATTATATTCAAAATAAATTAGAATAACAGTTAAAAATATTTTAAGTAATATTATATAAATATCTATGTCTAAATATATATATACAGTGCCGGAACTATGATTTACGAGGCCATGTACAATTTATAAAATCTAGGTTCCTTGCCCAACTGAACAACTGAAAAGTTGTAACAATAATATCTTAATCCATATTTTTATATATTATTATTTTAAGTTTAAGAGTACATCACTTGTGTCAGTAATTACTGCTGTTTTGACTGTAAAATTTGCATGTAACTCAGATCCGACAAATTTATAACAAAATATAGTTGTACATAAACAGTGATTTACCAAAAATAATAATAATACATAATCATACCAGTTATATAAAATTAAAATACTATTCTACATTATAATATAATTCTTATTATTAAAAAATCACGAGGTTCTATGTTTCTATTACATGTACTCTCCTTCACCTTTTCCGTATATATATATATGTTACATACAAAGTCTGGAATTGTACATTTCGGTGCAAGAACCAGCTATCTCCACTTTTTGAAATTGTTCAGTAGAAATAAATATATTTCTAATTGAGGCATAAATATAATATAAATATAATTGAATTCTCCGTATGAAGAGCTATCTATATGTATATATAAATTTACATTTTACATTATTTTAAGTACATTAATTAAATAGTAAAAATAAGAAAACATGGAGATAGATAGATAGATATATAGATACCTGGTTATTGCACCGAATTAAATTTTTTTTTTTTTCGTTTTTTGACCTAATATCAATTTAAGTTGAAAATATAATCATAAATATTAAAAAGTTGCAAAACTTTAAAACTATGTATTATAGTTATGTTTTAAAAAACAGTATATAGTAATGCAACATATTCTTGATTTATAATAATAAATTCACTAAAAAAATGTGGAGATGGCTGGTTATTGCACCAAATCTTATGATTTATAAAAATGAAAAAAAATATTACTGTTTGTTTTACCGTTAATTTTTGACCTCTTTAACATACAAATAATAAATTAGGTTCACTTTTCGATGTATCGGAAAATGTACGGCACTATTGAAGTCGAAAATTGAAACATTTTAACTACAAAAAAAGTATTAGGAGACACAAAAAACAAAACACATCGTTGCAAAGCCAATAACGTAACCAAATAATAAATAACATATACAGTAAAACCTCGTTAAGACGCTCTCGAAGGGGAAATCGTAAAACCGCGCATTATGCGGGATAGCGTTATAGGCGATATCCCGCCTATTAAAAGCGTTTAAATGTAATAATAGATAAAATAAATAAGAAAAGTTTTTATAATGTGATTTGTTATGTATTACACAGTAACATAAGTTGTACATATTTAAAATTAATAAAAAAAAACATCAAATATACATACAAAAAAATTATTATTAGGATCATATTTTTTTAATTATTATTTTTTGGATCAAACAAAGTGGTAATGGTTGGTTGTTTTAGTACATTATTTCATTGTTATTAATATATTACATATTTTAACAAAAGAAAAAAACGAATAACTAGGTATTACAAGTAAAACATTATATTTAAGAAACGAAATAAAATAACTCATACCTTATAAAAATTTAAAAAAAAATAAAAATAACATTAAACAATGTGATATTAATATTAGGGACATTATATTTTAGTTTTCGGAATTTTGCACTATTATACAGTGTTGCCAATGTCTCGGTGCAATAACCGGGTATCTCCGGAGATAGCCGGTTGTTGCACCGTAACTGTATACCAGACATCTCCATTTGTATATTAGGCTATCTAATGAACGGACATAGCCGATTATTGCACCGGACCCTTCAATTTGTACAATCATTGTACAAATCACAACATTTAAAAACATATTATATAAATTACAATTTTTCGTATAAAAAAATATTATTATAAAACTACATATTATTGAAATCAAATATAATTATTAATTACATATACTTTATCATTATTTATTCTTACAATCAAGTGAGTTATGACAGCGTGAGTTAAATATTAAATTTTTTTTTTTACATCTACATTTATTATTATAGCATTAATTGATTTAATTGATATATTTTTTACTTTTGAAGCATCTTCAATTTTTCAGTCAGACAACGGCCGTGAGTTTGTTAATTGTATAATTGATGAATTAAAAAATATGTGGCCACAACTTAAGATTGTACATGGGAAACTTCGCTACTCTCAGATTCAAGAAAGTCTTGAAAGGGCAAACAGAAATGTGCAAGATATTTTAAGGGCGTGGATGTCGGACAATAAATCCAATAAATGGAGGGAAGGTCTTCGATTTTGACAGTTTCAAAAAAATAATAGCTATCATTCTGGTACTAAACAACCATCGTTTGAGGTATTATTTGACAGAAAAGCACAACTTAGTCTCACTTCAAGTTCCCTACCTGAGAATATACTCAAAACATTAAATTCTGAGAATGTACAAAAATCACTGTACAAATTGCGAAATGTACAATTCCGGACTTTGTATGTAACATATATATGTTACCGGTAACATTAATAATTCAGGTATTTTGCAAAATGCCTAGGCATTATGCAAATTTTCGACCCATTTTAGGCAATGTAAATAATGATTTTCAATATTATTTTACATTTAACAAAAATATATGCAAAATGCCAATTTTTTTTTAGGCAAAGTACAAAACATTTTATTATATGTATATTAAATTAAGATTCTTATAATTATTATACATTATTGCTCATATTATAGACAAAATTTAATTTTTATCTATTATTATATTTTTACTATTATATAAATATTTTACTTAAACTACTATTTACTTATTATAACATGTTGTAGAACTGTGACATTTTGAAGTTCACAAAATGTTATTTTTAAGGTAAATATACTTTTTATTTTTACACTTAGACTTACAAACCCATTTTAAAAATCCTTAGTCAATTTTTGTGGATTAAATTTTTATCAACTTATTATACTGTTCATTAGATAAAAAACTAGTATTAATGGCCACATTTTTAAAAAAATATTGTAGTTTGTTATAAAAATTTGACTTCATACAAATCCTATGCATAGTTGCAACACTAAAACGAGACATGAAAATAACAAGAAAAATTACGATATTGAAATAAAATGATTAGTACGTTCAATATTGTATCTCAGAATTATTATTATAGTAGTAAACAGTGGCGTATCCATGGGGGGTTTTGAGGATCAGAACCTGAACCTGAGATGATAAATTAAATTTTACATGAAACAAGGTTTTTTTAAAACATTTTTGTATTTTAGAATTTTGATTTGGAAATCATATTAATAGTTTGTATAAAAACTATGAACGTATTATATATAAGTTTTACATACACACACACACACACACACAAGTCATAATATTATGATCATATTTAGATACTTTATTACTACTTTGATAATTTTTGCTTGACAACATATTATTTAGGTTTTTTACAACGGTTGATTCTAAATCGGTCGTCTGGTCCCAATAACAGATAAAAACGATATCATTGTCTGTATTCAAAGTTTATTTTGAGTATACCTATTGCATTCGCGGCTCGCCGACTCACTGTTTTACTTACTACTCGTTTATTCGTATATTTGACATTTATATTCCATTATATTTGTTTTATTTTAATTTGACATAATTCTAAGACGTCTTAACATTCCATTATGGTAAGATATTTTTAAAATTTAATTTTAGTATATCTAAGTGATTGGACGGAAAATATTCTAATATCTAATATTTATGTTCCTATATTAGTTCCTAGTTCCTAAATTGTTATTATTATTACTATTATTATTTATTATTATTTAACATTATTTAACTTATTTAAATAAGCAGACTAGAAAAATTAATTATTTTTTTTTACCTGAGTCGAAAAAACTAATGTCAACCAGACTTAAAAATGCCGAGATCAATACAAGTAGTAGTCAAAATGATAGTGATAAAATTAAATATATATAAATTTTCTGACCCCCCCCCCCCATAAAAAGTTCCTGGCTACGCCACTGGTAGTAAAAGAATATTAATCTTTATTGCGTTAAATCGTGAATGCACATTTATGATAAACGATAAGTAAAGTCGTTGATAATAGGCGATGCCCAATTTTCTTTATTTTCTTCACATTGCTTACTCCACGATTGGCATTACACACAATACCTAAGCAAAGCTCGTATTATGTAAATTGCCGATTGATTTTTGGCATTTTATATAATGCCTAGGCATTTTGCAAAATACCGGATTATCCATATTGCCGGTAACATATATATTTATAACTTATACTATTACTTACAAAAGAAATTAACTGTGTTTGTGATTAACGTTGCTAATGTAAACAAAAATATTGACATTTGCGAAGGTTTCCACATCGTCTTCCCACTCAATCTGAAGACATTCGTAAAAAATATTAATTATTACACCAATACATTTAAACAATAAATAACTAATGTATACATTCATATATTTATTCAAGAAAATAGGTATTTAATAAAAGTTTAAACATTTATTATTTTTTAATTGAGTTTTATAAATGATAAAAACCTAATAATAATTTTCAAATTTTAAATTAATTTATGTCAATTGATTATTCTGCGTTAAAAGTAATAAGAAACGTGATAATTAGAAAAGAAATATCGCCTGAAGTCCAAACATTTTGATGAATTCATAAAAATCATAACATACTACATAATTATAATCAGGGCCGGATTTAGACTTTCCGATGTCATGGGCAAATCAATTTATCGAGACCCCTAGCAGTAAAAATTAACATTATCCATATAGTAAAGGAAAAATTAAAAATTTGCACACTTGCCGGTTCAAATTATCTGCCTAAACTTTTTTATTTTAAGTTAAAAATGTTCATGCTCCACAAATCACAAATTTCTGTATGTATAATAATATTACAGTTTAATTAAATGTAATATACAGTAAATACTAAATAAATAGTAATAGTAAGTAATAAAAAAATAAATAAATTTTTATAAATATAGTACTTTTAGAAGTAATAATTCTGACTTAAATAAATTAGATATACATTTGGTTTTTTTTAATGTAATTTTCAATTTTTTCTTCCTTTTACTTTTTTAATTTTCGATTAGCAGCGCCACTTCTCTGGACTCTTTTCATATTTTGAAATTAAAAATATTTTATACCTATCAAAAATTGTTACTAAGACTCAAAAATAATGCCTATAAATTAAGTTGCATTAATTAATATATACTGTTAAAATTATTAACAATATTATTATTAATAATTATTAAAATTATAAAATTATTAAATATTAACTTAGTATGTATACTTTAAAAAATTATTTGTCAAGCTTTTTTGTATACATGCTTTGTAGGATTTTATTTCCATAGGTCAGTAGCGGCTCGTGTTTAGGTGTAGAGGTGTAATAACGACTCGTATCAAAAGAATATATACGGTTCTTTATTTGCTAAATTTTACAGTAGCTTACTGTTGTAGACTATGTATTAAATTCATATATAAAAAAATAACGCTGAATTTCCACCAGAAATATGGTAAGAATATTTATCATCGACATTACGCACGACTAACAATAGCGAATCTTTCTATGGAAATTAAATAGTTCATTTAATTCTTTTCACCCTAATATTTTTAATTCTATAGATATTTAAAAAAAAATATACAAATTGATACTTATATAGCGTTACGAAGTCAGTGCTCAAGGAATAAAATAACAATTGAAAAAAAAATGGAAGAATTAGAAACTAAAAAAATTACTAAAATTGAATTTGTGAAGCAATTTTCATTCAAATTTTTACCCTACATTTCGACATTCCGTAAATGGTGTCGTTTTTTTGCAATTTTCGTCGGTTTTTCGCAATTATTGGGAAAACGATCGAGAAATATAAAATGAACTAATACAACATTTGCTATCGAAAACCACCCCTGATGTTGTTGATAGAATCAATTTTACTTAGAAAAATCATGTCCACATTCATAAAAAATAAAAATACGTGTATGCAAAAAAAATTAATATTTTTAATTGTATAGAGCCAATGGGGAGTTGAACCTCCTTAATCACGCCCATGAATATAAATATAATATACTAAATGTCTATACGCATAATTCGAGTATAAAGCGATTTACTAAAAAATAGCGTAGAAATAAAATAAAATAATTTGTACAAAAAAGAAAAAAAAATGAAGACGAAAAAAAACGTATAATAAAATATTTTATTTTATAAATGGACATTTTCATTATAATTACTAAATTACACACAATTCACTTTGAACATCACGATCCGCCACTGTTATAGGTACGAGTAGAATGGTTTGCCCTATTTTCTTAAATCATTGGTTTTATAATATCAAATCAATACTTAAATCAAATTTAAGAATAAGTTATTATGAAATAGATACCTATTTAAAATGAACTAAGAAGGGAAGTGTACATTACAACGCAGTTTAATACATTTTTGAACAACATGGAATAAATACATACAAAATGTACTTCGGATTCGAAAAATTCAAATTTGTCTGCCTCCACACAGTGGACTAGAAATTCTGTACCAAAACACCTAACAAAATTACGCACACTAAAACTAAACATTAAATATACATAAGTGTCGCTGTTTTGTTGTACGTACACCCATTCAGACAATAAAGAGCATAACATAAATAATGACAAAAAATCAAAATAACATGAACTGCGCTATTTTAATATGGTAAAGTGATACGTAGAAGTAAATGTTACGCTTTATCATTATCAGACTGTTTTCCGGGTACTACCACTTCGGTGTT